AAACACGGATGTAATATACACTGTATGACACATTTAACATACATGCACAGTTTTATGCACTTATCTTTATTTACTTTTTATCAAAACTGATATTCCTCTTTGAAAACAAATGTTTTCACCTGATCACTAATTGAAAAATGTACATTATTTATTAAATTTCTACAGTCTTAGTATGTCATAGTAGTTGAGGATGAAATGAAATTTTTAATTACAATTTACAGCTGAATAGTGTTATACTTCCTTTCCACTCTTCTGCTATTTTGTTATTAAAAAAAGAGGAAATAAAAAAAAAAAAGATTTGTAACTTCAGCTAAAGCAAATTTGCCTGCAGTAAATTGATTCTGCTTTCAATATAATGGAGTGATGAATTGATATTTTTAGCAGAACTTTGGAAAAATCTATTGGCTAACTAAGCTTATTGTATTGAATTAAATATTCCATTTTATTCATTGTATGTTAGTGCTAATTTTTCTAGTGGTTAAGTACGTCATGAATTTGTCTGGTGCCAGCAGTATTTCATAGGAAAGAATATGTGGTTTATTTCACAAAACAAGAGCAAACAATGAGGGAGTTCCTGAGCTAGATTGAAGTCAAAAAATGCATAAGATCAAGGTACAGAATTTTTAAGATTAATTATTTAATATGAAAAATATTATTAGAAGGGAAAATTCTCAGTGAGACAGTGAGAATCTTGTCATGTTTCAATCCTTGTCTAGGCAAAATTTTTTTGTTACCATGTAGACAGCAATTATTCATGATGTTACAAGTGTAGATGTTGGAATTCTAACATAAACACTGCCACTAAAATGAAGGTTATCAATTCATAATGGTTTGAAGGTCACAAGATGAATGTAAACATCTTCAAGAATTCATATTTTAACCAGAACTGAGGGAAGAAAGTCTATGCCAAAAAAAAAAAAAAAGAAAGTCTTGCATACAATGTATATAGGAAGGCACGAAATCCAGACAGATTTTTACATTCTATTTCCAAGTCATCAATCTTAGCTCTGTATTTACATACCAACAATTATTCTAATGGTTTTTGGGTTGATATTAAGGTTTGTTTTTTTATCTACGTGTAAAATTTCATTTAGAGACATACTGGACTATTTGAAAGTTATGTAGCAATGATAAAAGTGAATCATGTAAGCCATAGACTGTGGCTGTACAATGAAGCAGGAACCTCTTCACTGCTATCAAAGTGGTTTTTAGACCAAATAACTAGAACTCAATGAGATTTTGCCTTGGGGGTTCAGTGCATCACATAATTTTCAAAACAAAGCTCTTTATTAAGACAGGCAGTATTAAGGTTCTTTCACCTGGCAAGGGTTTACATACATGACTGCAAATTAGACAAACTCACATTTCTACAAAAAAACATCCTGTTTACTGTAGCATGACATAACTGGGAATACTCCTTTTCTACCCTCAACCCTCCTTCTCCTTCATCCTGTCCATCCACCCCTATTATGATCCTAGTTAGTTGATGGTACCCATGTACACTCTTAGGTCGAGAAAAGCCCAACAGATACATTGTTTCTTTCACAAGAACTTAAGTTGGCCTTGGTTTGAAGAAGCCTCTTTGGATCAAAAGTCCATTACAGTAACCATTAGACCACTTTTTCTTGATTCCTTCAAAACCCTGATTGTCACATTTTCTTTATTTTCTCCCTTTTTTTAAAATGATTTTGTTCTAAGAACATATCACTGATATTTATCAAATTCTCTCTATCAGATGAAAAAACTTAGAAGCGTGTAGTCTCAGAAGGGAACTGAATCCAGTAACAAATACAACTTTTTGCAGGAAAATGGATGAATGGTTGGAAGCATTTGTTGCAGTGAAGTTGCTCCAATCATCTGAAATTTGCTTTCAATGTTAAGTGTGCACAATGTCTTTTCTAGTGGCCCTGTGGATAAACCTAAGGGGGGAGGGAGTAGGGAAGGCAGCTAGCACTGTTCCAGGATGAAAAGTTGAACTTGGATTTGATATCTCTTCTATAAAGCTGATTGTTGTTTAAAATGTTGTGGGACTGTAAACTGAAGGAGACATAATAAAAAAAGTAAGAGTCTCTACACAGGCCATAACATCCATGTCAGATATTTGCTTAAATTGGCTTAGCTTAATCAGCTTTTGACCCACATGGATCTGATGAATACTGACAGTCTCCCCAATCATCCAGATTCTTTGATCGTCAGATTGTCTCTGTTGTTTGAGAGGCTTTTGGGTATGATCATCTCATGACAAAAGAACTGTATTTCCTTTCAACATCTTATATGACTGAGCCTTTTTACTGCTGCCTAGACTACAGCTTCATGGAAGAGATTGTCGCTTCATGAATGACAACTAAAACTACCAGGGTCTCAAATTTTGGAACAGTTTCATGAAGAAATTATTTATTTTCAACTCAGTAGGATAATCAAAAATATTCTGTTTGGCCACAGGGAATTTAAACTAAATAGACAAATACATACAGCTATTTCAATTACCCTGAGCAATCACACCTCATCTCCTACCTGTTTCTTCTTGTTTATTGCATTTTTTTCAGATACATTTGACATGTATATTTGACAAAAGTGTACTCGTCAGTTATAGATTATTGAGAATAATACTTAAACCCTATCAAACACAAAAATCCTGAATCAGTTACATGCAGAAACTTTGTAATTTATGTTGTCATTATTTATATAAATTTGTTAACTGCCTCAGTCTGTAAAATTGCTGAGATACTAAAAACACCCTGATTGGTCAAAAACCTATTGGTTATTGCAATGTTAAACCCATGGAAAATTTGAGTTTATTTTATAAAAGCAATAGACTGGAAAAATTTATAAATCACTCACCTCTGGCGTTCTTCCAACATCCTGCATGGTTTCGCTGGTAAAGGGATAGAGAGTGTGGCCTACAATTATTTTTTTCATCTTTTATAGTTTAATTCCTACTTTAGTAGTAGCTGATAAGCAATTCTCTGATTTAAGTGTTCAAGTTTTTCTTTCCTGTTTTCATTGTTTGAAATATTTTCAGAAAAGAAAAATAATACTGTAATTTTGACTTTGGTTTTTATATGTGCTCCTTCATGTTCCTGTATTCACAGTGGCCGAAAAAAGGGAAAAACTTACACCATTCATTAAAAGTTCAAAATTCCCCACAAAAATATGTAGAAGCAGATATTGTGTAAAAAGGTAAATAATTTAAGCTTGAAAATATTTGCAGATTTGGTAATCCTTTAAGATCTTCCTGATATTTTGATAGACCCCTCTCCTAAATGACAGCAAAAATTTCAAAAATTCATGAGATGGAAAATATTAAAATTCATCCAGTAAGACAATTCTGGGTCTACATAGTGCATATTGAAAAGTTTCTTGTCTATGGAACTCCTGTTCATTTTTTCATTTAAACCACTGAGTCTAGGTTGACTCTTTTAACCTTACACCTGTAAGTTGTAATTTTATTTCCTCCTACTTAACTTATGACAGGAAATCTCATCATAAAATTACATCTGGGAAATTACTGAGATACATAAAACATGTGTTTCATCTTTTGATGATCAATGCAAAGGTACATGGAAGAAATTTCATTATGGTGGTTGCATTTTAGCCTGTTCAAAGTAAAAGTGTACTGTGTAACACTTATACGTAGCAGGATTCAGAGGAAAAACTGTTAGTTGATCTATGATCTGGTTCAATAGGGCAATTTTCATTTCCTGTCAATGTTTAAATTTCAGTTATTTTTCATAGTTGTGACTTTGTGTGAATAAATATGTTTTTTAGCTGTGGCTAGTGTTCTCAAGGTATTTCTTAGTGGCCAGCCATAAAAAAAAGTAGCCAGCCACAGTTAAAGGTTCAAATTTATCTAAGTTCAAGATAGGTTAATATTTAACTGTTTTTTCTGATTAAAAGTAATTGTGGCTTTTGAGAAAGTAGCCATTGAAAATACCACTGCCGCGGCTACAGGAGAAGTCTGCCATGGTGAAAAAAAATATATCGTCTGAGAAATGTTACCCATCGACAACAGACACGGAAATAAATTGTTTTTTATCTGATCGTGCAATCTTGGCAGTGCACTGAGCATGATCAGAAGACTTTGTCCTGTTGTGCTGCGTTGAAAATCTGCCATGAGTTTCAATCATGTGCATTCAGCTAAAGGCTTAGTATGTCCATGTTGTGAAGACTACAGTGATCATTTGACGCAATGTCAAGTTCTGGTGTGCAAGAACGTGATTGCCCTTTTAAAACCCTCCTTTCTGACACTGATAAAGTCAGAGTGGATGGCTCCAAGACATATCATTCAAGGGTGAATCTTTTCAAACATAGCTATTGTTCACCTCATGTTAGTGTTTATCTTCTCAGGCTGCAAAGGGTAAGCCTTTTACTTGGTTTTATCAATGGTTATATCAATTATTTTATTTTTATCAGGAGTATAATTTACATGTTATTTAGATTAGATTCAAAGTACCTGTGTTGTACAAATTTACTTGAGCAATGAAGAAGACATTTTATTGCGTGAGTCTGTGCTGATTACTATAATTTAATTATTTTGATAACCATATCTGAGCAGACCTGTTTTGATTTAGATCATATTACAGGTCATAGTTGCCTCATATGATAGGATATCATGTGCTAAAAATTAAAATTAATTTGCTCAAATTAGAGACTATCTTCCTTTGTGTTGAAATTGTATTGTTGCTAAAACGATGATTGCCAAATATAAACATTAAAATAAATTTTATTAACAGATTGTGTTACCCTCATGAACTTTTGCTCTCATTCCCACGTTTCCTAAAATTGATACAGACGTGTAGAGGTTAAATACCATGTACTTAATTATCTCTTAGATCGTAACTGTGTGAAAAGTAATACTACAGTCCAACATTTAGAAGAAGCACATCATCTTTTGAGCTTTGTTTCAAGTGTCAAGCAAAGTCTAACCATCCACATTTGGCAAGATCAAAATTATAGAGAAATGTAACAAAGACATCCAGATTTCGAGAGTTTTTGTATTTCATTTTTGAAATTATTGAATTTGATATATTGTAATTTGAGATGGAAATTACTATTCACATGCTGCCATTTTTTTTTTCTGTGATGTTTAAGACCTTGCTATGTTTGAAACTCTCACTCTGGCATGATTTCAGAACATGCCATGTATTTATTTCCTGTATGGCAGCTCTCAGGCATTTCATTTGTTGTGGTGCACCATGATAAAAAGTGAGAACTCAAAAAAAAAAAATTGAAAGAAATTGATAGATGAAACTGAAGTGGTGTGGTAAGCAGGTGGCCAAAACAGCTGAGAATTGTTGTCCAAAGTTGGAAATAAATAAATCAAAATAAAGTCAGGGCTGACTTACAGGATAAAATGTCCTCTTTCTACATGGCTGTAAATTCATGCCAAAAAAGGGGAAAAAATTACTTTGAGGTACAGCTGTACATGCCCACTGTGGCTACACTTTGTTAAATGTCATATTCTTGAGTTCTTTGGTTAAATTCCTTTTGTTTAGTTTGAGTTTAATCAGTTATAGTCTACTTGGATCAGAGAGTGCAGAAGATTTTATTGAAAAAAAATTTAATAAATTCATTTGTCAGTGGAGTATTGCAAACATGATTGTAACTTTCTTATGCCTTAACTCCAAAATTAAATTAAGATTGTTTTGTTTTTGAAAAGAAAATTAAATAAAACCACAGGAATGTGCCTTAACACAAAGCCCCTAATATAAACAACACATCAAAACATTATGATTTTCACAAACCATATGTACATGTTGAAAAATAAAAGGACTTAAATCAACATGAAACATGCATATATGTGTAATACCTTAGATGAAGTTAACGATTAAAAAACATTCTTAGTTTCAATCTTTCAGGTGTTCATCAATGTATGTATGAAAAACAGTAATGAAAAATTTCAATCTTCAATGGTGATCATTTCTGTAATAACAACTGAATGCAAGCATTCCAGTTTTGGGTTCATCCACTCTTTCCATTTAATGATGTTAATATATTGATGTTAATATATAGTCACTCATATGTAAGTAGCTCTGATTGTTTATTTCCCATGGTTTGTGTGCTCTGTAATTGATTTAATGGCCTTTACAATTCATATTCTTTTGTGTACTTACTTCATTGTTTGTGATCAATCTTTCCCTCCAAGAGTACTGTGGTTTCCTGTCCCTTGTGTGATATTTTTTCCTAATTAAAAAAAAAAATTCTTACTAAAAATTGGTTCTCTTTACGACTGCTTACTTTTACAGTTTAAGTGGGCATTTCTGTTAATTTGAGACAATTGACTGTACTCTAAATGAGATAACCTTCATTATCTACAATTTCTTCACATGTTAATCAATGTGTAATTTAATCTGGCATGAACTGTTTTCACCAATTGCACTGTTTTGTTGGGTGAATCTGGGTTAATGATTTGAGTTTCAACGGGATTAGAAGTATGGAAATTTTGAGTGTTTAAACATCTTTTGAGAAATTGCTTTTAAAAGGCAATCAAAGCCCCAAAATAACTTGGTGTTTCTTAAATCTGTTTACCTTCTAACTTAGGCTTAAGACTGTAAACAGACACAGCAGGTTGCATGACAAGAACTGCATTTACATCTCTTTGATTAATTAAAAGCCCCTGAAAGAAAGGAAAACATTTGAAACTTGTGTGAGATTTAGTAATACACTGGTTTTGGCAAAACCACAACTAGGGTAAATATCAGAGGGAACAGAAGGCTAATTGAATCATAAACAGAAATCATATGAAAAAATCTCTTTCATTGAAATTGTTCTGCACGACTAACATACTGGTATGTTACTGTTAGTAATTTATTCACAATCTCACAGTTCACAATCAAAATTGTTCAATTGCCAAGATTGAGAAATTAATGAAGAAAATTTTGTTCTTTCAATCCCAGCTTCATTTGGCAGCATTGGCTTCTCTGAAAACAGAAATTGTTGAGCTAACAGGGAAAGTTCAACAGTTGACTGAGGAACGAGATCAACTGCAAGCTTCCCTTGCACATGCCACCCAGGAACGTAAAGATTTGATTCATGATTATGAGGACAGACTTACTTCTCAAGCCCACCAGAGTGAACAGCACATCACAGAACTACAGAGTGTGATCGCAGAACTCAACAAGAAATTGTCTCAGTCTGCTGTGGATAAGTTTGATGAATCTGAAGAGCATGAAATAGAGTCACAGACATCTGAACGAGGTAAGACACAAGAACTCAGCTTGTTAACAAAAGAGTCCTCTATGTCATGCCACATACAATATTCTCATGCAAGAACAGTTCTGACGATCTGGATGATCGATCATGGTAGTGTGAACATTATAAAATCATAAGTACTGTAGTTGTTTGATGTGACTTAGAAAATGAAAGTTCCTCCAGGATGCAAATATAAGATTTGTAGTTATTGTACACTGAAAAACTGAAAATGTTTTGTTAGATTAAATTCACCACAGGTCCAATTTGAGACATATGCAGTCTTTTGTGGACTGTTAATGTGTTCGGTGTTTCACACATAGATGGTGGAGACCCCCCTGACCAAACAAGAACAACTTGAACCATGAAGTGATGGTCAATTGACATCATTTTCTGATATAGACTTGCAGTTAATTTCAAAATGTTTAGAAGTGACTTTCAATGATCATTTTGACATCTGACTTATGAAGTCATCAATGTGCCTCAAGTTTATTTGTTTTCTTTGTTAGGTTCTCAGAGTGATTCTGACAGTCTGGCTTCAGAGGAGGGTGTAAATGATGACAACACAGATGATGAACTGTCTAAAGTAGTTGGTGGGTTGGAGTTTGCTATTGATAGACAAGATAAAGACTCCAAAGTAGAGGACAAGAAACCAACTGCAGAAGAAGGCATTACACCCAAGGACGAGAAAGCCACAGAAGATACTGAGAAGAAACCTCTGCATCAATTACAATCTGTAAGTGCATAGGCAAGATTTTCTCGTGGGGGGGGGGGGGGGGGGGGGGAAGAGATTGTTGTACTGTTGCATCTTCTGGTTCTTTTTAGATTGTCGTGTGTTTTTCATTCACATTTCATCAATTATTGTCTTCATAATTTCTTTCCTTTTTTTATTGTGGCACAATAACAACACTACAATACATCACAAGAACTTGCATTATATAGCAGTGTTAAGAAAAAGGAAAGAAAAATCTACATCATTGAGAAAATAAAAGGGGACTGACAACTGAAAATAAGCAAGGACATTAATTGAACGGGGGGGCCCCTCCAGTGCCTTAAATTATTTTTAACAGTATTTAGATACTATTTCATTGTTCAACTATTCTTTTTTTGTAAGCTATATGTTATGAAATGATAAATATAGTGTTTTCAAGTAAGAACATTTATTAACAAGCGATGTAGAGGAACACACGTATAATAGATTTTTAAAGTAAAATGATTTTTCCTGCTGCAGCTTGCAAAACCTGAAGACAAGACATTTAAAGAACATGAAGAACTGCAGTCTAAATGCAGAGAGCTCAGAGTTCAGTGTCTAGAACTAGAAAAGAAGAAACAGTTATGTAAGTGAGAGATTTTGGTTCCTTTGGGGTCGTAAAATGTAACACTGTCCCTGGTCTTCCAGCTCTATGGGATAAATGTTGAATTGATTTTTCAATTCTTACTCCAAGTTTATGCAAATTGATTTTCACAAGTTTTACTTGATGTTTAAGTGGCCTTTACAGCATAGTTTGTGATAATAAGGATAATTTTAATGATACAATGTAGTTTTAAATTATTATAATAATATATAATTATCTTGTTGATGAACTGTTTTCTTTTTTTTTTTTTGTAGTGGAACGTCAGCTACAGCAGACAAGTTTAAAAGAGTGGGTATCACGAAAAAAGTCTTCTGGAAGCACAGAAGTAAGTTTTTTTTAAAGTTTTCATTACTGAGGTGTTTGGTGTGATTGTGAAAATGATCAGCAGAGCCTAGTTATTCGAAGGCTGATTGGCACTACCCCAAGGTTAAATTTCTATTCAAGTTTCTTTATTCCTTAGTTCAAAAGCCTTTTTCGGATAATTTTTTTCTTTTCAAAGCATCCAATCATCATCTTGTAGAAAAAAATAATTTTACTGAATTTTCTTTTGAAGCTTTCAGATCTGAAATCAAATTTCATACTAACCCTGGGTTATCCGTGAACAACCCAGCCTAATCTGCTGAGTTTGCACAAAATTTTGACCTGTATCTTACCCTCCGCTGGCTTTGGGCATGCTTCTGTTTTAACCCTCAAAACCTTGGTAGTGACTAGCATCTAATTCTCCTTACCGTAAAACTGCTGAATTATTCACTAAGATCAGCAGGAGAATAAAGGAAATGCTTGCCAACCTAAGAGGTTTTGCTTGTTAACAGACTCTACATACTATACCTTAAGTGTCATATTATTAGTTACGATGAAATCCCATAGATAAAGATGTTTTTGACAGAATTTTTTAAGGTTGCAAAGTGGTGAACCAAAATCAAGTGAAACCTTGAGCGGGAGCCTTTATCGGCAATAAGTTTCACATTCCTTTCTCTGCGGTAAAAACGAAAAACCGAAACAAGGCGTCTGCTGTAGCTGGCTATCTTTTTGCTGATGACCAGCGGGGCTTGTCAACCCCTCCTGAGAACAAAGAAACAAAGAGACAAAAGGAAACAAAAACCATGATAGAAACATGGTCCACTGATAATCCAAGTGAGAGGCGTACGCAACAACAGATCACCTTTTGGGAACCGAGACAAAAATTTGTTAGTTGATGGAGTACCTCATTGACTTGAACCCGGAACAGCCTTTTTTTCTGTGTGTTTTCTGCGTACACTGTGCAAACTAGGGATAACTGCCCGTGCTATTTCAGATATGTGTATCTGACAATTTTTTGTGATTTTAATTCGTCTCTCTGCAGGAGCTACAATCGGTAACATCTGAAAGAGATGGCCTGAGGGCAAAACTCAGAAAAAGTGAGGTGGATTTGGAACAAATCAGATCTGAAAATCAGGGTTTCAGAGAGGAGCGAGACCGACTTAGGAGAAGAGTAAGCTGCCAAACTAGTTTGAACACTTTTTAGGCAATAAAAAATCACTCTTGGGGGAAAAATGTTCGAAAAGCAAGTGGTATTTTGTTTAATCTTAGCTTTGCCACTGTGGTTACCTGTTGCTTTTCAATGCATTATTGAGTGACTCATTGAGAGTTGCATGTGAGCCGTGCGTAACAAGGAAAGAAATTTTAGAGTCTGCTGGGTGCTGTATCGGCATATGTAGAAGACTATTTATCAAATTTATCTAGAATCTTCAAACGTTCTGCAAATTTTGACTATGTGATTTCGTTGACTATTAGAATTTTATAATGTAAAGGGAAAAAGTTATGGTTTTGTGAAAACGTTTGGATTAGATTAGATATTTAAATTTTTAAAAATTGCTTTGTTGTTGTCGTCAGGTTCTTGAAATGCAAGATCAATTGAAGCTTCTTCACCAGAAATCACTTCAGTACGAACAACAAGTAAGGACAAGAGCGAACAGCATGCAGGGATCTAGTAGCCAGCCCAGGTCCCCAAGTACACCGCGACGAAACACTCAACCATCATCCAGCCAGTCGGGAGTCCGAACGCACACTAGGCAGGCTAGTGTCGGTGCAGCCTCTGATATATCGTCCAAAGAAGGCTTTTTGACATCTCCTCGTATTTCACGGCGCTCAAGCACCGATAATCTAAGCACTCACAGCCACGGTCGAAGCTCTCAGTCCATTCCAAATGGACAAGTCCGGAGACCAAGTATTTCGGGAGCAGTGTGGGCGTCTGCTGATGGCAGCTCGCCGATGCCGTTACGCCATCCATCAGGTAGTGTCCAGTCGATCTCAAGTCAGGCGTTTTGGAGGCCTGGGGCCACTAGTGATCTGGGATCGTCTATGCATGGTTCAACTCAGGAGATCACTGTTGTAGCTAAAATGGTGGATGATGGTACATATGGTGGTGGAATCACTGGGATGAATTGTATTAAAGCTCTCGTAAGTGCTAAATCTTTTCAACGAAGGATTAGCGCTTTAGAAACTCTACGGTGGTCAGTTTACATAATCAAATGAATTTATGCATCATTAGAGCGGTAACCTTTGAGCAACGAAGTTCCGTGCGCAAAAGTGATAGAGCTGTTGACTCGTTTCGAAAACTTGTTATTACAAAAGCTCGCAGTAGAATGACGAGTTATTCCGTTCTTCCCGGATAAATGACACTGATTTTCACCTGTGCAGTGCATCAGCTGGCTCAGTTAAGTTATAAAACGAGCATAGATATTTGAATTTCTTCTTATCTATTTACTTATGTAATTATTTTTTTCCCTTCAGAGTCAATTACCAGAATTTGTTTCTGATAAGATGCCTTCGGATCTTGTCAAAGCTCTGGAGAGTTGTAGGACGGCCCAAGATGTGTTCAAAGCTTTGTTCACTTATTGCGACGCACAGGCAGACAAAAGACTTAAGGAGTACGAACTAGAACTTGAAATGCTGACAAGTCGGTTTGATCACTTACAAGCTCAAAACAATGTTGTTTCGTTGTCTTTAGAAGAAAGTAGAAACAATGCGGATAGGATGTGCGTTTTAATGGGAAAATACGAGTCAAATTGTACAGCGCTTCAGTTGGCATTGAACTTTTCTGACCGAGTCATTGAGGCATATGAAGTTTTGTTGCAGCTCTCCGAAGCAGAGCAGGCGAGACTTTTTGCCAACTGTCGAGCGGCTGGGGTTAAAACTGGTCTCCATAGCTACGCCAGCTCTCCGACGGATTCAACTTACAGACTTATTTACGAGGAAGCGGAAGCCGATGACAACGATCGGGTTCCCGAAGATGTTGAATCGTGTGTGAATCGGAGAAGAACGGCCGAGAACGAAGCCCGCATGCTGTTGCAAAAGCTTGATCGAAACTTCGAAAGCCAAAATAACGCTGGTCAACCTTGGGATTCAGTATCATCAAATAGTAGAACTAGTTCGACAGGCTCGTCCAATGACATGGAGTTTACTCCGGAAGAAGAAGCAAGATTAAAAAGTTACATTCAACAATTAAAGTCCGAAAGGTCAACGGTAAGCTTGACAGTAATTGAATTGGAAAGCTTGCACGAAGTCGCGCAACCCAAGGATTTGAAACTAGAGCCGCTTGATCCTAAAGTAGATCTGGAAAATGCCGTGCTTATGCAGGAACTAATGGCACTGAAGGAAGAAAAAGCTGAATTAAAAGCGAAGAACTATTTAATTGAAAAGGAGAAGAAAGCTTTAGAATTGAAGATCACATCACGTGACGCCCAAGAACAGGCGTACTTGGTTCACATTGAACATTTGAAAACTGAGATGCAGGATGAAATCAGGAGACGAAGAAGGATTCAGAAGGACGCTGGCGTCGCTAGTAGCAAGGTTAGTAAAACTATCCAAAGATTTTCAGCGCGTTTAGTACAGAAGACACTGGGCATAAGAAATAGCTAGGCAGATAAACTATGAGGATTTCTTTCATGGTTGTAACAAAGTATGTGCCTCTTAAACGGTAGTTTTCCCTTTAATATAGGTGTCGATAAAGAGAAATTCCACTTCTTTCACCGCTATGTCGTGCATGATATGAAGTGTATAAACGAATTATTTCTTTCAGTCGGACGAGAAGTCAGGTGGAAGTCCCTCCGGCACTCCGTCCATCACCCTCGCTGAATTAAAAACTTCAGATGAAGACATTCCACCGGACCTGTATGAAGCTGCTAGGAGAGAGAAGAAACTTAAGGCAAGAATACAGGAACTCGTAGAAACTTTGGAAACCCTTTCCAAAAACTCGGAAACGAGGCATCAGCAGACAGCAGAATACGTGGCGGACTTGAAGAAAGCAAATGGCGCGCTTGTGGCTGCGTACGAGAAAGCTAAGAAAAAGCACGGAGCCAGGCTGAGAAAGCTAGAGCAACAGATGATTACTATGGTGGAGAGACACGACGCGCAGGTGAGATATTAAGTGTAAACACGCATGTGCGCGCAGTGAGATTATGATCGACGAATCACATTTACAAACGCTTTACTTTACAAGTTTGATCACGCAGATCGTTTAAATCATTAACAGACGGTGTAGTCTCTTTAGTGCGACACTTCGCGGTGGGTTTAGCGGGGTGAGCTTAGCTATGTTGATGATAAGCCAGTGTAACATTTCGAACTTACCATAAAGCCAAGCGACTGGTTGGTTATTTAAAAGATGAATGATCTGTTATGAAGGTTCTTAGTAACGATATGCACTCTTATTTTAAGACATGTGCAGGGAACTGAACTTAGTATACCCAGAGTGGTGTATTAAGATTTTTTCTTGTGACGACTTTCCGTTTTATTCTTTTAGGTACGAACAATGAAAGAAAGGATATCGCTTCTTGAAGAGGAACTGAAGACCACGGCAGCTCGGCAGAACGAAACAGCGCTTTAGTTCCGTCGTATGAATGACGTAGTATCGTCGCAAGAACCGTCACTTTATTTGCAGAATGAGATAGCGCTAGGGTTGCCCGTCCTTAGTCCACGTTCTTAAATTGTAAACGAGTAAGGCCAAAAAGTGGTATAGGAACTAGCCCTCTTAGGAAGTTCATGTGACAATCAAGTGTTCAATGATCTCTAAATATGAGTAACCCTTAAGACCCGTCCGTGACGACAGCGTTATAGTTGTGTGTCCCACGCATTGTGGGACAGTTACTCTTTGGCTAGAATTTCGAGTCCATATGCAAATACTTTACATAATCCCTTTGTCTTCTAAATATATTTTATTAACAATATTTAAGACCTTCATGGCTGAAGGAGTAATTGCTTATGTAAATACCTACAAATCAGGCTTGAGAAAGTTTTCAAGTAGTAACGCTTCCTGGGGTAATTTCCTCAGCCTGATGAGGTTAGCAAGGGTCTCATACTGTTAAAATTTTCTTGGCTTCCCTCTGTAGCTTTTTATATTACAGAACAGAAAAATAAAGGTTACTCAATGTACTTTTATATTTCGGTAAACAATGCTGCTGAATGAAATTTTAATGGGTACCTTGAGCAGTTAGGACGGCAAAGTCTAAGATGTCGTTAAAAAAAAAAAAAGACCTTATATTTTCAGTTAGAATTTTTCGAATGTCTGGATGTGTTTACCGTCTCTTGCGGTGCCACAACTCAACTTCGGTATAAGCGCTGAGTTCCAAATGGAAATTTAAATCATTTGTCGTCGGAGTTTCTTTCAAGTTGTTTTTTTGCAGAGGTCGGCAAAGAAATGTACAAAGTCTTCAAACGCACGTGCTGAGCTCTTGTTCTGCCCATAAGATCTTTTGTTTTTGGCACGCCCTCCTTACCTTTGCGGTTGTGATTTGCTTTAGGTCCCTAATATTTTTCAATTACACCGATTTTGCTAGAAGAAAGCAAACATCCTTTCTTTGGTTTGCGAAGTTCTCAAACAATAAAGAACATTTGTCAACATGACACGATTTTGACGTCTCCGCCTCCAACACCTACTAGACACCTGATTGGCCGAATAAATGGCAACATAAACGTTCTTGGAAATGTAAATCAAAATAACAGCAGCGGATATCTTCCACGGGAAGGAAACGACGTTAGAGCATGGTCATGATGACATAAATTCTTGAAAACGACGCAACCTAGTAAATTCTTCTATTCTAATAAAGAAGCTTGCATCGTTTGCTTTGGCTCCCTTGAGGTATTTTCGCTCCTTCTGGTTGGCCGTCATCATTACGGCTTTGGTGTTGGTGTGACAACACTCGATTGAAATGCACTTTAATAGGTAATATCAAATTAATATACATTTTAATATAATAATAAAAGTAAGACCATTAGAGAACTACAGGCACTGTATAGTAACATAAGGTACTAATAGCGAACTTGAGGAACAATGTCCTTTTAGCGCAGGTGCGTACATGCCTTGCACAGCTGGTGGTCGCGCTAGCCAAACCAGTCAGGTTGGCTACAGCATCATTTGCTCCCCAGCGGCACCAAGTCCTGAGGAACCATGCGCTTAAGTATGAAGTCTGCCATAGAGGTTGGAAACAGCGCTAGCCAGGCAAAAATGAATTTGGCATCAAAACCAATCAAATAGCGATCACGTGGTGTCTGTGACGTCAAAGCGTCCACGACGGCATCAACAACGTCACCGGTACGACCAGAAGGAGAGACCAAAGTACTGAGAGCAATACCTAGAGCAAATCACAGCAGTTAGCAAAATTAAAATTACTGAAGTCAAGCAAGTTCATGTCATGATGGTTTTTGCTTCTTAGTCTACCGGAACCCGCAATGCATTTGATTTTCAAGCAAGAGGAGCCATGCGCAAGTCGAGTGCGAGGGGCGAGGAGCAAGACACGTGCGAGGTGAGGAGCGCGGGAAAAATGTCACTTTCATCACACTCCTCTCTCCCGCTCCCGCTCCATAAAAAACCCCAAAAGTGACGCTTGTCACGCAAGTTAGTACTTTGTAGTGTCAGTGATATTAATTGATCCTGTATTTCAAAGCTTTCTAATATTTCCAGAGGATTCAAGACTTCAGCACACAGAACGTGTGTCCTAGCTCTCAGTTGTCAAAAGTATTTCGTTCGTGTGTTCGAAGTATACGTACTTTTTTCCAAGTATTCTTCTCCGTATTCCTTTTTCAGTTCATCACTCAGGTTATTCCAACATTGTCGCAGCTGTCTCTCAATCGCGGCAGGCTGAGTCATTCCTGTCTGAAAACAGCCCGGCTCCATGATACTGACCTTTATTCCCCAAGAATACATTTCTCGTCTAAGAGCATCAGAAAACGCTTCAACGCCATATTTGGTTACAGCGTAAGGAGCGATACAGCTGAACGCTATTCGACCTGACAATGAGAGCGACATGGATTATAAATAAAGTCAAGAATGGTCGAGTCTTTAAGGCGTGACAAAAACAGATATAGTCTCCCTCCGCTTCAAGAGCCGAAGGAAAAACAATCTCTAATGTGCTTGATCAGCTGAATGTACTATTCTGACAGAAGTATATCAATACTTCGTAACCAGTCTACCTTGGAAAGGAAGTATATACTGTAAAGTACATTGCGAAAGGTCCCCCTTTTTCAAACTTAACTTGCCTATCGATATATTCGTGTTGATTTGTCTTTGAGAATAATTACCAATAGACATCTCATACAGAAAAGAATCCATTTTATGTTCTGTAACTTACCTGCAGTACTTGAAAAGGTCACAACTCGTCCTCGGGCCTTCTTCACTAAAGGTAAAAATGTTTTAGTGACGTCAATCATTCCCCATAGATTAACGTCTGCAATGCGTTTAAAATTGTCCAGCGGTTGCCAATCAATTGGTGATTGGATATGAATCCCAGCGTTATTCACCAGGCCCCACAGTCCTAAAAAGGAAAGGGAATATCAGAAACACTTGAGGAGTTTTAATGAAAGTGCGAATCTCATAGCTCCTTGATACATTACCAACGCATTATCCAGCAAACTCTGAAGTAATGAGAATCAACATGCTTATCAGTGAGAGAATGTTTTATTCCATTTTATTTCACTGTTTTCGCCCACTCGCCCTCGGTGTCTAAGTGACGCTCCTGTCTCGTCCCAGTCTCTAATCTCTATGTCGAAACAAGAAGTAGTATAAACATCTAAATTCCGGAGAAGCACGAAATTAAAGCTGATGATTTTGGATATATGAAATTCATATATTTGCAATGCGGTGAAGAGATGAAATTAAGAGATCCTCGCAACTAAGAACACTACTGAAACGAGTAGTTGAAAATAGGACATGAAAAAAAAATTCAGGCCCGTACGCGATTTGAACCCATGACCTCTGCGATACTGATGCAGCGCTCTACCAACTGAGCTAACAAGCCAACTAGGAGTTGGTTTATGTGTTTGGTCCAAATAAACCATCCAAGTAATGAATGATGATTTTTGATATGTGAAATTCATATATTTGCACTACTCGTACCAGTAGTGTTCTTAGCCGCGAGGATCTCTTAATTTCATCTCTTCACCGCAGTGGTCATGGGTTCAAATCCCGTACGGGCCTGAAATTTTTGTCAGGTCCTATTTTCAACTACTCGTTTCAGTAATGTTCTTAGCTGCGAGGATCTCTTAAATTAAAGCTGTTTTCTACTTTCTCTTGTTGACAATACAACAAACTAGCGACTGAAAGTGGTATACATATAAATTGCAATAAACAGTTCAAGTCTGATTGCGCTGTAGCTTGAAACATTGGCCAAATTCAATGACACCATATGAAATAGACTGAAGACAGTTTAACGACTGAAAGTACTAAAGTCTGTTTACCTGTTTCATCTGGAATCCGCCTTTCCACCTCATCGAATACATCTCTAATATGCTGGGAGTTTGTAACATCCATCTGGAATGTTTTCAGTCTGTCGCTCGTCACAGATTTTAAGTTTTGTTCGCCTTCCTTCGTTAAACAAGTTGCAATCACGCGAACTCCCATCTCGTCCAGTCTAATTGCTGTTTTGCGGCCGAAGCCGGAGTCACAGCCCGTAATAAGAACATATTTGTCTTTGATTTCAACGTTTGATCGTGGAATCAGTCTCCAGGCAAGATAAACTGCCAGGCAACCGACAAAAACTGGAATAAGAAACGACATGAGTTGGTGCGTGCTGACTGAATGATGCTCTTGAGATGCAGAGGTCGGCGTTTTCGCAATTAGAAAGTCACGATCGCTTGCGTTACTGTTACTAAAAAGTATCGAGATATAAACCGGCTCGCTAAATACAGAGTTCAAGTGTATTCCCTTCGGAAGTACTTTTACCGAAACCTTTTCCTTTTTTCAAAGTTTCTATACCTCTTCTGTAAACAACAGTAATTCATTCCTCGACCTGGTCGCATTGTTCAGCGGTTGAATTCACTTAGTCAACTATGTCAACTGTAGTACCCACTGTTGTCTCAGAAAGGAAAGTGATCAAGGTCAGCAATTTATCAACAAAAATGACGTCTGCTAAGAAATTTAGCCAGACTGCACTATGAATGAGACCAGGTACCCGTTTCGCGAAAGTCCTGGCGACTTCACGAATGATAAGTTAAAATCCCTATTCAAGTAATGTAAGTGCTGTCATAGCCTGCAAGCAAGACTAAGAAGGCTCTCAATGGCGCTGCGGCACGAACGCCATAGACCGCGGGCGATGCGAGGCGTGCGAGGGGTCTGTCCCCGGTGAAAGCGTTAAAGGCAGGAAAAGCACCGGATCGAAAGCGTGTTCAGGACGGGAGCTGTGGGCAAAATAACTTCGCTAGTGAAGATCAAAGGCTTTGGACTGAAGGAAGAAAGATTATCGCGTTCGGCTTTTTCCTTTTTCACCGCTGGAAGTCGACCAGTCGGGCCGGTGCAATTCCTGTATTTAAGACTTGCGTTGCAGCATGGAATTGCACCGAGAGTGAAACGTTTGCAAATAGAACATATTACACAGCGAGTCAATTAGCGCACGAAAACTGCTCAATACTAGAGCGAAAACAAATATCATTGTTGTTTCAGTGGTGAATTTTCGACGATGAATAACAAACAGTAGGTAGCAAATCCACGCCATAAATTTACCCCTTGCCGAAGTAGATTTGACCCGAAAATTTATCTTCCAGCAATAATATCAAAGCTTGTGTTTATTTGATTTGAAAAAAAGAAGGACTTTTAATGCTAACATAACTTTCGTCCACAAATGCCTCCGTGATCTACAGGTCTCTTGAGCTCGACAGCATGACTAATGCTATTTTTAACTTCCAATCACAGGTAAGTGCAATTCCTGAATTTAGCTGCAAGTGTCCCCGGCATCACAGACTTCTCGCTTCCTCGCTGGCTCAAAACCAGCATGTTCTGCCGCACGTGTCACAGCGCCAATAGGACACCTGTTAAAGCTTAAATACCATTCCATTCTGATGTATTTCCTTGTATCTTCAAAATTTGAATTCCCAGACTTTTGAGTAATTCGACCTTCAATTAAAACATGAAAAAACAAAATACATATTTTTGAGACCACAAAAATTGGAATTATCGAGGAAAGGCCCCTGTGAAGGAAAGAGTTAACTGGTTTTTAAACCCCTTTGCACCCTAAAATCAGTATTTATATTCTCCATACTGTTATCTTAACATTTCCGATGGTCTTGAAATGGAGAATTTGATTGACAATCAGGGACTTCTGAAATTGTAGATCCTTTTCATCATTCACACCACCTTCATAATTGATTCAAAGCTGATACCGCAAGAAGAAATAAGAAGTCATTCACTCCTTGGGGTTAGAGGATTTAGGTGACTCGGAAGGTACACAATTTAAGTTGAAAGCTAATCGGTCCGTTTTCTAGTTTTAAATAATGTGAGTACTTTTTAATTATAAATATCTTGCGGCAACATCAACAAATCGGTAACTTGTAACTACACTTGTTGTTTAGATTAATTAGCTGCATAGAATAAAAATGAGTTACTTGAACTACACTTCAAGTGTAGAAAAACTAACTGGGCAATAGAAAAAGGTCACAATTTAAACGTTCATAAATAAGTTACAGCGAAACTCTGGAAACGGAAAACACCGCAAGTATTTCTGAAATTTTGCTGTGCCAACAAGAAGACACCAATCAGCTAAGTAGGATTCAACTAACAGTTGTTAATTTGTGTTTGGCTGGTATCTTCTGATCTTAAATGATGTTCATCATAAGTTGACACAACAAACATTAAATAATGAAGTGATTCTCACAGGAGAGCCCTAAAGGAAGAAATTCCAGAGATGACGCCTAGATAAAAACGAAGAACATTCTAATGGCTTCCTCGTCTCTCATGCCTCGCTCCAGTAAAATGAAGCTATATTTGGGAGGCAAGGTTTTTTTTAATTGCAATTTAGCGGTGAGGATCAGTTCGCTACTCGTTATCATTGACAGGTCAAAATATGATTTAATTATTTTTCTTGTGGATGTGAACATTCCCAAAACTATTTTAGGTATTCTCATTTAGCATTTTTGTCTATCGGCATACCGGCGAGTTAAACCACAAGGGATATTGGTTGGACACGAGAAAAGTTTGTAAGTCAATCGCCTGCAGACCGTAGGTTACAAATTTTTCTCGTGTTATTTCGCTGGGTAACCGATAGAAAGTACGGTCTATTTCTTTAATAAAATATCTATGGATTTACCGTTTCAATAAATGATACGTGTTTGGCTTATCAAAGAGCTCGAAATATTTCGGTTACTTTTTAAAAGCTAACAACTTATTGCACATAAAATGCACTCCGCCAGTCAAATTATAACATTAACAAAATCTGCTTTTCAGTCATTTTCATCGGAAAGAGAACCCTGAAATATCAAGAATCTGGTTCTTCAAATTTTTCATTGAGCAACTCCTCGACTCCTTCGACGACCTCGCTAGCTACACTGGACATCTTCGCCAGCAACTGTGTAGGATTTGAAGATTTGGCAGCAAGTTTCTTCGACGAAGCCTTCCTCGAGGGAGTACCGACTGGTGTAACAAGAGCTTCAAAGTTCTGACCAGTGGCTTTGTCGAAGTAGCTGTCCATTTCCCTCAGTGGTATCGCATTGTGAAGTGTACGCAAGGGATTCAGTGATTCCACTTTCGTCATTTCTTCATAGAAGTCTGCAACTTAACAATGGAGGCCAAGTATTAAGTTTTCAACACCGAATGTTGCATTCTAGCGTTCTGATTGATTCACTCAACTCCTGTTAATACCTCCTATTATATACCAAGACTTGAACTTAACAAAACGAACACTGTGATTGGTTGATTCTTGGTCACGTGCTCCTAATCAAATTGTATCCCGACCTGGATACAATTGCGCAGTTGTTGCCCGCGCGCCGAATACAACAGCACGTTTTCGCCATATGATCGTTTAAGGGCAAGTCTAAATGTATAGCAAAGCACTTAATATGTTAGCCCGAGAATCCTGATGTTTCCCGAGACAAAGTCGGGAAAACTCTCGGGAAAACAAAACTAATTGTTTCCCTCGGGACGATACATTAAGTATACAATATTCCGAGTCACCTTATATGGAAATTCATTGTGCCAACTGTTGCGGAGCTGAAAAAAGGCTCCAAATATCCTAACATTCAAGATTTAGAGAAATTTAATAAAACATCTTGAAAAAGACTTTGGTTATAACCAATTCTAACCAACTCATATCCAAAGCGCGCTCATGGAATAATTGTTAAGTAATCTATTAGCATATACCTCAAACTGATTGGGCAAATACTGTAATTTTCACCCCCTTATAGATGTAATTGATATTGCTTTTAGCCGCCAGAAGCTTTCAATTATAGTCATGATCCAAGTACGCCCTTGTCTCCATCGCTGTTTGATCTCGTCACACGCGTTGCGTGACGGGGCAAAACAATGGCTGCGAGGGAGACTAAGTAAGCGCTTACTCTTTCTTTCGTTTTGCGCTTCCGTTCTTCGTTTCGTGACTCCGTGAGATTGTGTTAAGATCACGCCGTTCACAAATTTACTCACTGAAAGATTCATTCTACCATGGATTGCTTTTCAGCCGTGGGTCGCAAACAAAAATGGGCTCAAAAGCAGATAAAACAAAGATTAATAACAAACTTATCAGTAAATATTTCTGAACGGCTTAAAGTGCACGAAAACGCAAGTGATCAAACTGTGATTGGCTCAAGCTTCTTTATCTTATGAGGTTAAAAGTAGTGCGAGTTTTTTTTTCACCAACAAGCCACAGCAAAATCAGCGCCACGGCAATCACATACTGGTTTCTACACTTGATTGTAAACAAGCTGCTCTAAAAAAAAAATTGATAGCATAGAGACTTACTTGGTGGCTTTCGGCTGTTTTTCGTGCTTTTTGTGACAGAATATGGCTTGACAACCAAAGCACTTTGAATGGCATACGAAAGATTTCTGACTGCACGGATGGAGGAGGTTGTAGTTCCTTAAAAAACAAATAACGAATAGTGATTATAAGATTCAAGCACACCCCACTAACCCACTCATAAAATAGAGTTATTCCGGAGAAATAACCAGACCACTAGACCACTGACAAAACATTGAAGCGACCCGGATAGGATATGTATAACACTAAAACAAAAAATAAAGCAAATGGTTTTCACCCACGTATCCCCTGCTCTCAAAACGGTTGTGATTAGCTGATTAGTAATCACATGACCCTGCATAAATTAAAATGTAGCCCAAATGGGAGACATGTATTGAAAGCGATCCATGTCCAGGTTTTGCACGTGATCAGAACGTGGCTGAGGCCAGTGGTGTGACATCAAATGGACAAAAAAACTTACACACTATGGATACTTGTTTCCTCAATCTATAAAAGCCCGCAATCTAGTGACGAATGAAAAAGTTGCCCATCTTTGTCTACTTCAAAAATGATTCAAAGGGAAGGAAAGAATCCAGCTTCCTTACCAAGAATAAATTTCCGCGGAGAACCTCCCTTCTTCAAGGACGGGGTTGACTGGACAACCTTTAATGGCTGACCGCCCAAGTCACTCTTTCCCTGGTCTCGCACCACATCAAACGATACCTTACGTGGCCGAACAGAAGAAGTGTCCGACTTGGCCGATGAAGGTTTTACACTGCCTGTCAATAAAACACTCGCTGTTAAGCAAAGTACAAACATTCCAGTTAGTGCACTGTGGTAAATTTTCCCGTAACCACGCCTGCCTTTAGATATTTAAGCCACGTGATAGATGTAGTAGGTTAACAAAAAGAGCGCTTCCAAAATTGCTCATAAGTAAAGTAAAAAATCAGGGCTGATCGCTTGAGCGTGTGGCAATACTTGAAACCCTTAAACAGAGATGGTTGACGTCTTCAGGCTACCAATGCATCGGAAACACCCTTGTCATTAAAAGTTAAAGTTTTGAAACTTCTAAACCTTTTATTGTTCAGATACGGTTCGTGACTCAAACACGTTCTAGCACCGTAAGGGGTAACAACCACTCTTCATTTGTGGAAATTTACGCGCTGATAATATCACACTTGTGAAATGTGAATTCTACACTAATCAATTTCCTCACTATCTACACTACCTGCTACAAATTGCAATCAAGGGTAGCTATACCGCCTTCTCAGAGGGTGCTTTAGCTTTCCGACTTTTAGCGAGCATTTAACTTCCGAGCACGGAACTGCGAAAATTGCTAACAATGATGGGTGTAACTACTTTTGTGGACCAGTCTTGCAACATCGTTCTTCGGGCTGAAGTCAAATACTATTAAGATAATTTGTCCTCGAAAGTAATCAGCCATGGATGTGCACATTTCCCAAATGGACGAATGAATTAAGAATGTGAAAAAACGTTAAGCAATTAAATATGCGAATACATGAGAAAGTAACTAAACAAATATATGAAAAATAAACAATCTACAATCAACTCCTGATTAATAATCAATAGCCATCAGAGGTGCTTGTCAATACGCGGGAAGTTAGGTTTGAAGGAATTTCTACAAGGTGACAGCGAAACAAGGTTAATAAAAGTTTTATAACGTGCTGAGTTTCATGCATTTACACAAGTACTGGATGTTAGTCTTTGCTGCATAAGAAGCTTTAGATTAACTGCTCAATATAAATCGAAATACAGAGAGGTTATTAAAATACTTGAGTTATTAATACTGAGATATTAGGTTAAACGAGATTTACATCGAAAGAAAAACTTGGCAATTTTACACAAGGCAGATTCAGTGGACGTTACAGATTATATACTAACATTTTAAACTTTCTTAATACTTATCCCTGGGATTTCCAGACACTCAAAACACGGTAAATAACTAAGTAACAAAACACAACTAAAAAGTAACAAACTTGTGCGACAATTAACTAAAAAGAATCCTTCAATTATCGTTTCGTTATCGTAACTATTTAAGTGTTCTTTCCGCTGTTTTAAGTTTTAAGGTGCAGTTTAAGGCCGCAGAGGTGTTAAAGTGACAAAGAACAAATTTCAATTGAGTGACGTAAGTAATCAGGGATAACAAAGGATTTTGTTTTACCTCGCTCTCTGATTGGTTTAGAACACTAACACCACCTTCTCGACCAATCAGATGCGAGACAATAATCAATCAAAACTTCGTGCCGGAGTCGTTCGTGTTTTCCCGCACTTTCCCACGCTTCTCGCACGCTCTCCCCGCGCTCAGGGGAGTTCGCATGTTTTAGCTTTGCTTTCTTATTGGTTTGTTCTGACCTTTCCCGTTGTTCTAAAAAGCTGTTGAACTTTCTTTAATTCATTACCACTAAATGATGTCTAATAGTTTGTGACAACGGGGAAACACCAACGAGGGACGGAAAAAAAAAAAACAGAAAAGAAACAAGGTTGTTTAGGGAAGAAGACGATTAGAACGGATAGTTCAAAAGTTAAGCCCCACAAACTGTGGAGTAGGCTCCTTCTAACGAATACTGAACACACTGAAAAATATAACTGAATTCCTGTCTTCCTGATGCTATCTGTGCCACCTTCTTTTTCACCTTCTTCGTCAAGAATCACGTCATCATCGTCTTGACCACTTCTTTTGCCTTGCTGATCATCATCAGTTGAACCGTATTCATTCTCCTGATCTTCTTCGTCAACGGTATGCAAATCAGTCCTGACTCCTGTTGTCGTTACAGTTTTTAACGCCAAATGGAATGTTAGGCAGCAGAAACAAGAAACATTCAGGAAAAATTATCATGGTTGCCAAAGTCATCGATTTTCAAAGTTCCCTCACTTTCCCACAATAACTAATGAAAAAAATGTCCCTGAACGATAAAATGCAAAGTTCGTCCTACAGTAACGGCCGTCTGCCTTCCCTTACAGCTGTCCATTTCACCCGTAGACATATTTCAGCAAACAGAAAAATAGAGCGTTCCTATTTTCAGGTTAACAAAACAATGAAGGGTGAAAGAATGAAAACCGCAACAAAAAAGACAAAACAAACCAAAAACGAACAAAACAGGACAGAACACAACGGAACAGCGCCAACTTCGTTAAGGGAAACTTAAATGAGTTCAGAGTAATCGTAGAAGCTTCTTTAAGCCTTCAGTTGTATTACATTAAAAGTGAAACTCAAACTCTCCTTCACGTTACACAATTCATTAGAACTTCGCTTTCCATGACTCAAGATAAAATTCACGGACTTTCTCCTGATCGAGAGGAGTTTCCCATAATAGGTTCTGACCTGTGGCAACCATGTTTATAAATTTACTGTTAATGCAAGATTAAAGTACATATAATGGCAGACTAACCTACAAGCGCAGCGAACCTGCAGGCTTTCATTAGCGTGATGCTTAGCAATTAAAATGCTTAGGAGCTAGGCAAGGCAAGGGGTACTTCATTACGATCAAAATGTTTTTGCAAGCTAAGGAAGGGGTAAATATTTAAGCATTAAGGCAAGGAGAAGAGGCATAAGCTCGAAGATTATTCGTCAGGAACTGAGGTCCGTTGTCATTTAAACTTTACCAGGCACTTGAATTTAGTCTGGCTAAGGCCTTCTGGAAACATGTTCCCCAAAATTTGTAGACATTGAAAATGTCTTGACAGCGCAAGCGATATTGAAACTTAATTTTAGGCAAAAGCATGGCGCAACAACGTATCTATACTTAAAAATTTATCAAAAGGAAAAACATGGCAAAATGAAAAAATGAAAACAACCAAAAAAAAAAAAAAAAAGAAAACAAAGGCAAGAAAAATGCAGTAACCTCTGTTGTCGAAAGCCCTTATTTGGAAGTTTGTGATCACCTTCAATAAACATCAAAGTTATTTAATAATCTGAGGCAAGCTTACGCAGCCACATTTAAAAACAGGTCATGGGTAAATATTAATAATTTAGTACAAAAGTAGTCAAAACAATTATCTTATTCGACCCTTAACAGCGACAAATACGCAATGCCAATAAAAGAGGACATACCAACGTGTTATCAATCGTAAACATGCCTTCCTTTTATCCACACAAGGTTGACCTTTTTACGCATTGACAGTTCCCACGGTTAGACTATCCGAAAAATACTTATCACAGAACAAATTTTTTAGGTTTACTTCCCTTAAAAGCGTTAGCAATTTCCAGCTGGTACCTTTGTCAAGCCAAGAATAGTAGCTTGATAAGTTTAATTTTTTAAAAGCTGGACAGTCAGGGGGAACGCGAAACCCTTGTGTTCACGTTCATTATTCCTCCCGCCATTTGGACGGTTACTGAGAGAAAAAAGGTCTGAGAGGAACAAGCTAATGTAAACTGCCAAGGAACACTTGTCCCGGAGGTATCTGGAGGTTTCACCCCATTACTACTTCGCCCTTACCACCTTTGCGAGTTCGCCCCTTGAAGTAATACAAGTTCGCCCCCCACCTTAGCCATTTTTTACCCAAATCTTTCAACTTGTTTGCTGTCGACCATTTTCCTTTTCTACCATAATATGTTTCGATCCCAATTCCAGTGCGATAACTGTTGGGTTACTCTGTAGCTACGTTTACACTGAGGAGACAGACAAACCTACGATCCGCACGCTTACGGCAAACGACAAACGACACTTACCGAACGGACTTACCGAACTTACTTACATAACATGTATAAGATTTACAAATACATCTTTCGCTTGGTTTTATTGTGCGTTTTCGTGTTTAAGATCAATGGCCATTTCTTTGTCGTCTTAACTAACTCATAAACAAACATACCTTCTATCAACTTGCCAAAACAAAAATCATCTGGTGATCCATCAACCGAATGAGCCTTCGGCCTTCGACTGGCCACAAGTGGTTTGGAATCATCTTCTTCCACGATGCATTTTATCGAACTTGCCTCTTGGTCCTTCGTTTTTCTTCTTAGAGGAGAATCCCTTGTTGGACTTCCAACGGATAACACGTCACTGTCCGATTTACATCTCCTTTCAATTTCAGTTGGGGCGGGGCTAATTTCTGTTTCACTCAAACTGTTCCTTTGCCTCTTTAACGGTTTCTCTTCACCAGACGAGTCATCAATAGATGTACCCGAAGACACAGTACTATCACCTGTGCTTGGACCCACGGCAGAATCTGAATAGTCTTCCATACCGATTGAAAAACGTGGCCGCTCATTACCAGCGTATACAGTCTCATCGTACGGTTCAAATTCTTCGCTTTCCAAAGCTTCCTCCACAGCGGAGTTCTGCTCTGCACTTACAGAGCTACCTATGTCATTTGCAGTGTCGTTAACAAAACTTCCAGTTTTTTCCGTCGTCTGGGATTGTCCAGGATAAGTACTTGTGGCTATTCCGTAAGGAGCAGAGGAAGAATTAGGACTGTTAATTGATGTTGTCGTATTAACCACACTATCCTGAACTTGATGGCCATCATCCGCGACACCTCTGCTCGTTGTATATACATTCCCCGTCGTTGAACCACCAGCAGCCGACGAGATTCTCACATCTTCCTCACTTCGTTTCCTTGTAGGCGAGTTCCTTGCTAAAAACTCTGGATCATCCATAGTCTTGGCTCCAGGACTGAAGTGCATCTCCACATGAAATCGGTTTTCAGACAAAGGATCCGCCTTTGGATCCTCATACAACAACAGCACAATCTGAGTCATGTAGTTCAATTCTGGTACCTCTCCTAAGAACGACACAGCTCTCTGCCACTGATTATCCGGAATATCCTGTCAGAACATATGAAAACTATCATAAAAAACCTTACCTCAGACGGATTTGTTTAGTTGTAAGCGAACTTGCAGGAAAGTACAAAGACAACCTAGATCTATTTAAACTGTAGGAGTAAGTAGTTAGTCGAATAGAGATAGCCAGCCATTTGCGGAACCAAGAGAATTCAACAGTAAAACATTAAGGAAAAGTTACATTTACGAGCTTGAGGGAAATGTCTAGGGGGTGAACTGTCAAAATGTGGTAAAATATTTAATCATACTAAAAAAGCTATCCTCAGATGATGGGTCTGAATTTTTTATTTAAAACATTCAGATAGTCAAGCTTAAAAGGTAAAACGTATAGTAAGCAAAATGTCTGCGAAAAAAACTGTCATGTTGTTTTTAGAAACTATCTGTCGTTTATAAAAACAACATGTAGCCTTGAAGGTAACTTACTTCAAAAAGCTTTCCAAATCGAAAAGCATTTAGCACTGTGTGCACGTGACTCTCACTTGTAAAATACAGCCTTGTTCGAACATGGCGATGCGGTGTTTCCACACTCTGTGAATAACTACAAAACAAAGAAGACAGCGATTTTTTTCACAATTGTAGCTTGATTCATGACCCATTTACATAACGTGACTTGACCAACTGACCAGGCGTAAGCCGCACGTGAAACAATACTTTAAGCTACCCGTGATACAATTATTTCCCTAATCAAGCGCCGCGAAGCCCCCTTTTTTTTGGGAGGGGGGGGATGTGTTGGGGAGTGGGATCTGGGAAGTAAATGAGGCGACGCCTGCGAAATTGAGCACTCATTACCTGGGATTAAGGCGGGTGTGTATATCTGACTTGTCTGCGTGCCGGAGATCTCCTCTAATCTTTCTTAAAAGTCTTACACAAACTCTTTGAGCAATGGCTAGCTTCTCTTCCATTGTTATTCCGTATTCCTAAAAAAGGGGGAAATGTCATTCAAAACTAGTAAAGTCATAACATGAACATCTCAGACATAATCAGGTTTAGATCCTACAATATGAAATTTGTTTAAATTGAAGGCCACATAAAAAATGCTACATTCATTAGACTGGGAAGTGGAATTTTAAAGGGGTTCTGGAGAGCTCCTCCAAATACACGCAAATGGTTAAATGCCCGATGGTAAGGAAATGGCAATTCTATAATTGGTATATGTCAACTGATGCGGCACCACTGCGATGAAAAGGTAAAACTAATAACTGCTGCCTTTTCGAAGGGTACATTTATTGTTGTGAAATAGGTTGTCAAAATAGTATAATGACTGTTTTTAAATAAGGAGGGCCGGGTGTGTCAAAGTACAGGGCCGGAAAGTTGCGGGAGACTGGGAAGTCTAATAGTCGCTTCGCTGAACTGAAAAATTTGGGTTCGAGCCCTCTAAGCGGAACAACATGTTGTGTTTTTGAGCGAAAAATTTTATCTCTCAGTGCCTGTCTCCTATTAGAATGGTAAATGTGTGCCAGTGAGCTATCGAGAAGACCAGACGAAAATCTAGGCTTAAAACTGGCTATGAAAGCGAGTCTGCTCGTTTATCTTTCTCACCTGCGGAATAACAATGTCTGCAAAAGCCTTGGCACACTTGTATAAATCCATAGCGTTTTTCAAACACAGGTTACTACATTCAACAAAAATTAACTACATCAGTATCTTCGACTGCAAAACAGATCGTTACAATTTTATCTACGTTAAGTTAGCCTCCAACTGAGAACAGCCTACTGAAAAATACTTAACTATCTAGCACATAAATCTGCTCATCAAATAAAAAAAACCTGTACCACGACTTCAAATTTTATTTACACTGTAGCATTTCATAATCACATATGAAACGAATGGATGAGTAACTCAAAAGCTAGCATCATCCTCTCTGCAAATCAGATGCAAAATTAAAAATAATCACAACCTGCTCAGTCATATTTCCCGCGCTTGACGCATGTAACATGTTTTTTTTCTCTACCCGCTTTTGACACTTCTAGTCTGTTTTACCGATGTAGTTACTTAAGATTTTCTTTTAAAACAGAGGTCGAACATTAATAACACTTTTACTACCATCGTTCATATAGACTAGAGCCTCGGTGATGAACAAATCATTTATTAAACAAAACCATTAACGGGCCATTATCCCACTCGCTTTTACGAACCTGTTATGCTGCACGTCGTACTTGATACAGTCGTAGATGTCTGGAATAAGACTGATGTCGAACTGGCCATTTTTCAACTTAAAATCCTGAACAACGTTAAATGAATAAGACATTTTTATTCAAAGGGAGTACGTTTCTAAAGAAACTGTGGTGCTGCGTCGGTGGGAGAGTATAACAGGGGAATTTAGTATTATCAACTTAGTTGATAACGTAAATTGGCCACCGCAAATAGTTTCGAAGCTAACGTTTCGAGCGTTAGCCCTTTGTCAGACCCCCTTCTGACGAAGGGCCAACGCTCGAAACGTTAGGTTGGAAACTCTTTACTGTGGCAAATTTACGTTATCAACTCAGTTGGTAATACTAAATTACACTTTCATAAGTTCAGATAGATTAACGATTGAGAGACTCTGAAGACGGACTCACATCCTACATGTGCATCTGACCTTTTCTAACTTCGTCCACCTGTGCATCATCAGCTCCAATGTTTCGTCATGATAAAGGAAAGGATCTGCAACACAAAGATCACCAAAGGAGAAAATTAATTGAAGCCTAGAAATAAGCTTTCACAGAAACGCCGTGTAGACACTCAGCAACCAAACTTGTGTTAGGGACTCCAGGAGTTAAATTACATACGCGTTTGCACTTGCTCACTGCTTGACAAATTACGTTAAGCGCAACAAAAGTCTTAAAGAATAACGGTTCTTACACTATCATGAAGCCACCTCAAAGAAACTTTTCCAGTATTTTCTTTCACTATGTTTCCCTCAACAAATGTCCCTGATAAGACTTATTTGCTCATATTTATGGCGACTTGAAATTTTTCCCCAGAAAAGTAGACTTGATATTAAAAAAACTGCAGTTGTTAAGCGGGAGTGTTAAATGAGAGAAGTCAATAACTTTTGACCCTTATGTAGCTATTCTCACCTCTTGGATCATATATTTTCTGGGATATCAGCTCCTTTAGTTGTCCAGTAAGATTCGCTACCAAGTTGTGCAGCTTTTCACACATTTTGTATGGATTTTTTACAAATTTCATGGCATTTATCACAGAAGGAGACTTGTTTGGTGCAAGCTGCAATCAGACAAGAAAGCAGAGAACGCACGTTTTGACAAAATTAAAAGAAGGATCACTAGATCGCATCATCACTTAAAAGCGCTTTTTGATGAAGAGACGTAAAACCAGAACCAACGTAATTGCAACAGCCAATCAGATGAAAGGAATATACCCTTGAGGACCAATGAGAACTTCAAGTAAAGCGCGGGAAAACGCAGGCGACCAAGTCGTGATTGGTTCTAGTTACGCATCTGATTGCTAGCGAGAGAGGCGCGTGTTTTCGGAGCCAATCACAAAGCGAAGTAAAGCAAGAACAAACAATTACATGTTACCTTCGATATCCAACTGAAAATTGCACTATCTAGAATTAAATTCCGACAAACCCTAGCAAAATCCTCTTCTTTGAAATCATCATTGGAATGAAGCATTTCATGAAGCCTGTGTTTTACTCTGTAGATAGAAAATTCCAATAATATTACTTTAAGAAAACATGTCAATAAATGAAAACAAGAAAATGGGTTTAAAAAAAAGGAAGAAATACAGTGAACATTGTAATTACTAGGTACATGTGAGTGTAATTTCACCATCATCCTCTCCATAATTTTTACATAAATGGTCACCTACTGAACATTAAAGAGACTTTCACTAAATTGACCTCAAGCGTTGGGCCTTGAACATTCCAAAACTTAATTAACAAATACACTCTCATAGAAAGCTTAGATATGTTAAACAAATATATCTCACACACAAATACTGCTCGAGAATTGGAAAATCAAACTTGAACTTACTTTCCTAGTATCTTGGTAGCAGCATCAGAGGTGTCAAGCATTTCCGTGGTGTTCTTATCACTACGTACCAGATGTACAAGAACTGGTGTCAGCTCACCTTCAAGTGCAAGAAAACCCTACAGACCAACAGAGTACAAGCTTGTTTAGAACTAACACAGTATTAACTGTTTGACCATAAAAAGGGGACTGGCATCTAATGTCTCCTTACAATATCACCTCCGAATCAGACATTGATTGTTAAACAAATTCTCCTTGTCAACACCTCAGGAAATGTAAAGAGAACAGTAAAGAGAATATGATTACTGATGTTATGGTGTAAAGGGTTAACTATCACTATTTTTTTACAGGTTTACAGTATTTTTCTGGGTACTTCCCTCTTTACATCTTTACAAGACATTACTCACAGTTGAATTTGCTCCTTTCCATTTTTTTTTTCAAGTTCAGTGAAGGAGTAAGATGATGACTTCAGTCTTTTTCATACATGTAGTACCTCATGAGACCTCTCTTTGTGGCAAAGTATTTAATAAGTTTATAAATAGAAGCACATGTATGTAGCTGTTTGTTTGAGCTGGATACCTTTGCAAATGCTGCAGCTGTCATTTGAACTCGTCCCTCATCAGATGCATAAATCTTCAAGTCATGTCTGTAGGTACTATGAAGTCGCAGTAAACCAATGCCAGACATTGCAGAGTATCTCCCTTGACCTCCAGGGTACATGCTCCTAAATTTTAAGATATTTGCATAGGCTAAATGTAAACAGAATCATGAAGAGGAAAAAACACTCAGAGAGGTAGAACAACATTACATCAGAATTCACCGGCAGTTTTAAGAACTCTTCCATTTTCTAATTAGAGATAGAAAATGAAAAAGACTACAAGTGAAATGTTTTAAGGTTAAGCCACTGTGTTTAAAGATAGCCCCTCTCCTTTCTCCAGATAGGAGAGAGGCAATACCAAAATAAAGCATCTTGTCCAAGAAATGACACATTGCAACTATCCAGAGATTGAACCTGGGCATTTCAAACTAGTGTCTCCATGCAATTAACCGGAAAATTTTCATCACTTGCTATTTCATATATATGTACCTGAAAGCCCGTCCTAACTGTAAGGCCTGCTCCTTTCCCATTGTGGTCAGTTCTCCACCCCACTTGACTATCAGCAGCAGTGCATGTTCAGAGTCAACTGGTACCTTTAGTTTTTCATCCTTTGTTTCTTCATTTTCCTGTGATTCCTCACTTGATTGCCCTGTGCCTTCTTTACTGTCTTTCATTTTTGCTTCCTTCCCTACTTTTTGTTTTCCACTCTTCTCATCAGAACCAGAATCTGTTAGTCGACTCTCACTGCTTTCACTTTCACTCCCTTCTCGAGGTTTGCCAAGGTACTTGAATTGAACCTTTCTGTTAATTCCAGAGAAATACCCATACCTAAAGAAGATTGATGAGAGAAAAGCAAAATCAATAATATCATCAGAGATGATACCATCAGCAGCATACATACAACCATTAAATAAAAGTTTGTACCCCTACAAAACATCTTCCTCACGGCACAGTCTAAGTTAACATGCACTATTGGCTCGCTTTTTACATGTTTGCATTTGCATGTCTTGTTCTTCAACTCAAAATTAGTAACCGCTTCATATAACATTACTAGGAACCAGCCAAATATTGTGCACAATGGTTGACATTGTTCATTTTGACTTTTAATTTCTTTTAACATTCCACCCAGCAAAAATGAAGATGAAGAAAAAAAATAACTTCTTAGAGAAAATTGACTTACAAAAAGACTAACACAGCAAGGATACATTCCCAAAAACAATTCAGGGCAAGAAATCCTGCAAAACCCAATTCGTGCCTAATAAATCAGAACAATATCTTGAGGACTCCCTTGACTTCACCCCAAAAACTTTTCAACAACATAAAAGTACCAGCAAAACCTTACGTATTTTGTGCAAGATTTGTGATAAATGACATAAAAACACATGTGAATCTTCAAGAATAACTTACATTTCCAACACACTTTTGAGTTGATGGAGCTTGTTACGCCTCTCAAAGATTGGAATCCCTTCCTTAATGTTGGTTAGCAAATCTCTGGCAATATTCAACACCTCTTGTAACTGGGTCGGCCTCTTCAACTTGAGCTTGTGTTCATCAAAGCCAAGATACTTCTTGAAAAGTTCAATAAATCTGGTATAGAAAAAACACTCAGTTACATTTCATGAAACTTAACCCTTTAAGCCCTGATATCAACATGTATATTCTCCTCACTGATCTCCATAAATTTCTTATTTTAGTGATTGAAAGAATTTGTTCAAACATAAAGACATTTCAACTTTGGTGATCATTTCATTCATTCTCATGATCTGTACATTTAATCAGGCAGTGATGTTGTTAGGAGAAATTAGATGCTAGTCACTATTGGGGCTTAAAGGGTTGATTGTCTCATTCACAGGCATATACATTATACATGTACAAACAACATAGTAAGTCATACAAGTTGCAGTTTCAAACAGATTTCAAATTAAATTTGAATTTTATTTTCCTTTTCCCTTCCTAAAGTTATGCACCTTCCAGCTATGGAACGACAGAGACAATAATTCAAACACGTTAAACATATTTCTGACCTGCAATTCATGTCAAACTACAATACACAAGTAACAAATCATGCCCCACAAAAAGTCCCCATAAATATGATCCAAATGAACTATCTTCGGGAAACTGTATGGATTGAGGTACAATGAACATCACTTACTGGAATTCCATGCACCATTCAGTATCATTTCAATATCATTACAATATCATTACAATATCATTACAATATCATTACAATATCATTACAATATCATTACAATATCATTACAATATCATTAAAATATCATTACAATATCATTAAAATATCATTACAATATTATTGCAATATCATTACAATATCAAGCACACAAGAGATGACATAAAAGAAAAATACCAAATGGGGGATTATAAGTAGATTCAACACCAAATTCTCCAAACTAACAAGCTGAAGATAAAAATTGTGCAGGAGACAGTTAAGAGAATTATTAAAAGAGATCTTGGAAGTGAAAGGGTAAACAATGTGGCTTATCTCACCTTGGATGCCTGACTTCCATCTTCATTTTCTGCTTTGGAGTTCGGTCACCATGCCTGATAATTCCAATAACACACCTTAGCTCTAACATGGTACCCTCCAGGGCTTCAACAGTGGGTGTCTCTTCTGGTAAATCAAGATTGTACGGTGTATATAATTGAGGTGCTAGTTTATGTACAATAAGGCTCATTAAGACCTGTGCTGCATCATCATAGTACTTCTTGGATGTCTTTACAAAACTGAAGCCATTGACATCACAAACATAGGATTTGCCATGAGTGCGCAGTAAATCACACCCACAAACTGTTTGCTAAGTGGAAAAAGAATTCAAGATTGTTCAGTATGCTATAATATAGAGAATAATACATGGGTGCACGTAGATATGGAATTTCTCTTTGAGTGTTATACTCAATAGCTCATGATTAAGCACAGCAAACATGCGAGATGCCAGTTGAACACCAGAAGAGAAATTCCATATCTACAAGCAACCATGTATTATTTTTTTAATTATATAAAAACATTAACCCTTGACTGATGAGAAAAGTTGACTTTATTAACATATGAAAATAAAAGGATCAACAATCCCCCCTCAGGAAAGTTTGAACATCACTGTCTGATTTACCAGCCATAATACAAGAAAATTCTGACAAACAACAATGAATTGAGAATGGTGAAGGCTTTGCTGTTCATTCATCAACCTGACTGAGTGGCATGAAAGGCTGATTGGCAATATCAAACACATGTGAAAAAATATGCTATTTTGTCATGCGTGTTGTTACGGCTTTTCTCTAAGCTCGAAATCCTCATATACTGGTAACACCACAGTTTATAAGATAGAACAGTCCAAGTACATTTATACCAACATCACTACCATGGGGGTAAGTGTTCAGCACTAGGACCCAAAAAGCTCCATCACTGCTGCAGCTAGTGTCTATAGACTGAAGAAGCTAGAAGTGTCATTTCATCTCCCAAGGAGTGTGTAGGTCTACAGCAAGTTATCCCCCAGCATTTCATTAGTCTCCTCTCTCCTCTCTCCTCCCAGGAACATAAACCTTAATCTCCAAGGTAGACATTAGCATGGCAAGAGTAAATGCCTGACCTGAGAATATAGTGACCATGACCAGGAATCTGTTCAGGACTTTTCAATCTGGAGCTTGTCCTTAGTGTAAAGTTGGTAAATCAAGGCACAGTGGTAAACAATGCAAGTGATGGTAAGATAAAAAGAAGAGGGCTTGGGTCAGCTCAATAAAAAAAAAAAAAGACAGGTCGTGCACTCCCTCCCTTTTGGCACTGCTATTGCCATTGAGCTGTTTTCTGTTGCACTTTGTTTTACCATCATCCAATACCTTGAACAGGTTGCAGACTTTATTTGCCAGTTCTTTCTCATACTGGTTTAGGATGACAGGATAACGTATCTCCTTTCCTTGACTATCTCTTTCAACTTTTCCATCAAGGGAAGGAGACTTCCGTGCCTCAGCATGAGCATACTCTGGGCCCACTGTGTACACCTTGATTTATTGATCCACAAAAGAAAAACATGTCTCTTACTACATTTTAAAAAAAAAATTTAATATATTCTTAACCTAAAACAAGTTTTTCTAAGTTTTTGAGGATGGCAATGAATTACAATTAGTCTCATAGTACAGAAAATAAACTTTGAACCCAGGAAAAAAAACCAGAACTATAACCTACATGTTATGTCTGCAAATTTCTACTGAATTGAACTTATGTCCATGCACTTCTCCAGTGTCCTCCTTTTCAGGAAGTAAACAGTGAAATTTAATGCCTATAGTACCTGTTACATTTGTATTACCACAGACCTAACATCCCTTAGAATTATCAAAACTAAAAAATTCAACAATTGAAAGGATTGATTGATTGGTTTGTCATGCCTAAAATAAGGGAAAACCCTACTTCTCTAAAGGTCTCATTTCAAAACAGAAAGAATTACAGACAGTAAAAAACTGTTATGTCTTGCCTACCTTCACATCTGTTCCATCAGTGACCACAAAGTCTTCATAAATGTAAGACCCTTCCTTGCGCACAGAACTCTCACCTGAGTACACACTGCTTCTATTTCCCACCTTTCGGAACAATCTTTGACTGCCACCTCCAGCTGATGAGGGGTAATATATGTACACATTGTGGTCTTCTGCATTTACTGGTTTTTCAACGAAGGGTTTTTGGAATACAACATCACCAATCTGTACAGAATCATCCGTCTCAACAAAATTAGTGTTTATGGGATCTCCATCATCATCTCGTAGCAAAATAGCATGTCTTGGTGTTTCAATCCCTGCACTCTCCAAAAGACTGTACATTGTTGGTCTGCAAAGGAAAATAGGCACAGTTTTAACCAAAACTCTTTCCTCTGACTTGTATCTAAAAGCTGTGTTTTATATTTACAGCCAAAACTGTGGTAATGTAATGACAAAAACAAGGACAAAGTTGAGTGTGATATAGAAATTGGTTTGAGCCTGGAAGGAATATTTGAACATCTAGTCTGATGGTCCAGATGAGAGTTGTCCTGAGAAAGAATGTTGTCGGTAGTGACGACTGACATTTTGACAACTGAGTGGAGGTCATCATCAGTGTTGTCACTCATCACCCCCACTCTGGTCATAAATTCTGCTTAGGTTGCCAAAATGTCAGTCACCATCACAGATACAGTACCTCCCAGGACTACCCTCACCTGATTGATCACATGTACAACACACATACCTGTCCATCAGGGCATATTGCATTTCCAAATCATTTAGACTGAATGGTTTTCTCAGCTGGGCATACTCAATTGCTTTCTCAAGTGGAAAGCCTTTGGAGTAAAATGAAATCAAACAGTCACAAATGGGCCATTCCTCCACTGGAACATTCAGGATAGTGTCATCAGGAAACACGGATATGTCCACACAGTCAAATGCTGACATTCGATTTAAGATCTCTTGCATAGGTTGGGAGTTGGTCTAAAGGAAGTGGGTAAATGAATGATTAAGTACAAATTTTAGGGCAAATTTTCAATCAAGCGTTTCAGCTGCACCTCGCTTAAGGCATTGACACTGTCGAAAGCCCAAGGCACATCACTAAACAAATATTTATTTAAAAGAGATATATTTGCCGGTTATACATGTATATACCTTTTTGCTCATTGCACAGACCCCAATTCTAATCTTGGGAATTGCATCTTCTTCATCGTCTTCATCGTCATCTTCACCATCATATCTTATAAATGGTCTTGGATAGTCAGCCATTTCCTCTGTTCAAAAGGCTGTGTACGAAACTGCAAACGTCACACCACCGATAGTAGTAACTAACAAAATGTTAACGTCTTGTCACCTTCCGCCAGACATCTTCTGACATTTCTGCAAGGGGAAGTTTGAACAACGTAAACGTTTAGACTTATGATTGAGAGTGAAGAAAGATTTTAAAACTGACGTAAAAAGAAGATATCGACGAATTTCAACATGAGGATGAAAAATTTTTCTACATCCAGATGAGGACCGAATAAAAACTCGATGCTGCTGTTCACATTAACTGAGTGAATTACGATGAATGATGTCACCCTTCCTTCAGGAAAACAGCCTTAGAAAGTCGAATTCTAATAAAATCCGTTCGCTGCCATTAACTTCAAACTTACTTATTGTAACAAGTTACGAGAAAGTGTAGCAACTTAATTACGAGAAAGTGTTGCAACATAATTATCAATACTTCGCCATTTTCAGGCGAAGCGACCGCATTCCTTGAAAACTGCGGTCAGCAGTAAAATAGGAAGAGTTAAATGTGTCATGTACGGTGACACTTATGTATTCAACCCGTCAGTGCCATATCCGAAGTTTGGACCACTGTGTGGGCAGCTTTCGTGTAACCGTATACTGCTCCACAAGGATAAGTGGAAACATTTCTTAAAAGGCTCTAAATATATCAAACAAAAGAAATTTCTTACTTAAAATTATTCTTCTAGCCTTGATAATTTTTTTCGGCCTTCAAAACTGACCATCACGGTAAGCTCAAACTTTCCGAGTCCGCCATCTTGTTAGGTGCGCAAGGCATATTGGGTCGTAATGGTTGCTGCGTTCTTTCGCATTTTGCATTGTTCTTTCGTATTTGGGGTTTTCCTAGGGTTTTCCATGCTATTGAAAGAACATCTCTTCTAAACGATTCGCGTCTGTGTTTGGAACATTACAAGGACCATTGCATCCATGAATCGTACCTACTGGAAGTACGGATAGTTTCGTTTACAGAAGAATGACTAGATATGTAATAACAGAGGCACCGCAACCAGTACACGTAATTAACCCAGAGTACCTTGCGCACCTAACAAGACGACGGAAGCGGGAAAATCTAACTTGCCGTGGAGGCCGATTTTTACTTTTACTTTTTTACTTTTAAATTAGCAAGGTTAGAGGAATAATTTTGAGAACCAAATATCTTGTGTTTGATACATTTGAGAGCCTTTTGAGAAATATTTGATTTAAGACTGGAGGTTCCCTTTAAAGGGTCTTTAGCTTCCTTCAAAGCCACCCGTTTCGGGCCACCCCTCCCCAGCCTCAACAGATAATGAAGGTATGCGAAGAGCAAAATACACCATATTTATATAATTTACCATCTTTTGTAACTAAGCGTTCCCCTCTGAATTAGAAGGTCGAATAAATTTTTGTGCAAAATTTTGCGCCACATGAGAAATAAGTTGTACCGGCCCCTTGACACACAAAAAAATAGATTAAATCGCAGGCGAGAAACACACGACTACATTTAGTGACATAGGAACCACTGAAAAGAAAAAAGTTGTCATTTTTATATATTAATTTTTATCTTACAATTTTACAATTAATTACAATTTATTAAGTCTCTTGTATACATCTATGTAAGTTAAACAATTTTCACAACATGTAGAATAAATCACTATTTATATATTAAATCTTCACCCCTTAAAAAAAGAAGTTTCCAAGAAAAAAGAATTGCGAACGCGCAAGCGTGATCGGCAGTACTGTCATAAGCCATGAGTTACAGAATTTGAAGTAAAACCGAAAGTTGCGCAGCAAAGTTTTTTAAGTTCAACTGCGTCTTTTTCCTTTACTTTTGGTTATTCTTACTCGATTGTGGAAAGCTTTGGAAGGTAAAAATCAGGAAGGAGTTCTATGTAACATGTCTGCGCACGAGTCACAAACTGAGAAGAGCCTGTGGATAGGGAAAATTGACTAACCCCAACTAAACTAGTTGCTAAACTCTCTCTTCTTCGGCGGGCCGGGAAGAAGAGTGATCCTGGTAACGAGGTTTCACATACTTTGAGAATAAAGTGAGTTTCCAAACTTCGGTGGAGGCTATCACAGGATAGTTTGCTTTTATCAATGGAGTTGATGATAAGAATTGACCACCAGAAAGACTACGTTCGCTGCACACACAAATGGCTAATTTTCTCATGATTTGTTCTAATCCTTGTGGTAAATCCACTTGAAAAATATGTTATTTGCAAAACAAATTCATATTTTTAACATTGCATAAACGGTCACAGGAAAGACAGACAGCATAAATTTAATTTCCCTCTTTTCAATGGTGCTCCCGTCAACCGTGGTTGCAGATCTCTCTTAATGATAAATCAGTGCTATGAAGAATCCAAGTTTTCGTTTGCTCCTTTGGACAATTCTGAGAAGTTACTCTCCTTGGAGATAGTCCTTGAGCGTGAAGCAAGAGTAGGAAACACAAGTTTCTTCCCAATTAAGGTGTCAAAGAAACGGTCCATCTCTTTGAGTGGAACAGCACTGTGTAGTGTGCGAAGTGGGTTCAATGATTCCACTTTGGTCATTTCTTCATAACACAATGCAACTGAAAGATAATTCAGATTTAACATGTCAGCATGAAAAAAAACTGCAAAAAATATTAACAATACGTTGAATAGTGTCAGTATTCGATCCTTTGTACCTAACAAAAGATAGAGAGTGGTGGTAGGTCTGACTACTCTTTTTCTTATGATTACCCAAATGTCACAGAAAAATTTAATGTAATGGTACTTTAAACTTTTCGGTTTTAATGTTTGAGAAGCGCAATGACTAAACGGGTGACATCTATTTTCTGTGATGTACTACACACATCCTCGTTAGGAGAGCTAACTTCAACCTCAAAGCTCGCTCGTATGCGGACTGAGAAATGGTAGAGAGCTTCCCAAAGCACTTAGACCAAAGGAATAGGGTAACAAAGATTTGAGTAAAGTCTAGTGCAAATAAGACCTATAGGGGGCGAATTAAAAGAAAAAAAACACTTGATAATGCGTAAAAACTATAACAAAATGGAAACGAAAAAAGCACTTACTAGGTGGCTTGTGGCTCTTTGAAGTGCGGTTCGTGAAGGGATGGGGCCTTACAACCAAAGCACTCTGTATAGCATACGTCAGACTTTGTAATGCAAAAATAGCAGAACTTGCCGTTCCTGCAGAAATAATGTTAATAATTTCACAAACATTAAAATATAAATCGAGGGTTGAAGGATTTGTTATCTACTTTATTCTGTTTTCTTTGAAAAACCTCTTAATTTCCGATAATTGACCCTTCAGATCCTAAGAATATCCAGAATGTAATTTCTCCTCACAGTAACATTGCTTAATAATAATAATAATAATAATAACTAAGACCATTTACAAAAATGGCATGATCAATAACCAAAGAAGCTTTGATTTTTAAACAAATTCTCCTTATCAGTAACAAAGGAAATGTATAGAGAAGGGTATAGAGAATATGAATTCTGATCTTAGGGTGTTAAGGGTAAAAGAGGCTGAAAATCTTCATACGGTTGGTTTATTCCGGAACCACTGTATAACAAAAGGGCCTTAAACGAAGTGGAATGAGCCGAACCTTAAACTTAAATATGGAAAGTTAATGGAGACTACAAAGCAGCGTTCTCGCTCTACGAGCAGTCTCTTCTTAACGGCAAAGTCCCTCGCGCGTCTCAATAAAAATAAATAACGAAAAAGAAAATTTGTGTTAGCGAGCCGTGCAGACTTTTGGGAATGAGGCACACGAAAAGTAACGTAGTTCTTTTGGTGTGCCTCACGCTCAGAGTTCCGCCCGGCGCGCTGTTATCTACATATTGCTTTTGACTCGAGAGACAGAAATCGCCAAAAAAGGGTCTGCTTGTAGTCTAGTGATAAATCTAAATCAATATTCATGAACAGGTAAAAAAACTTCTCTTGACCTGAACTTTGTTTACTCGTTGATGTTCTTGATGGAGTAGAAGACTCATCAGCTGGGTCTGAGGGACCATAAAAATAACCTTTACCATCGTCACGCACCAGATCGAAGCTGATCTTTCGCTTGCCTGGGTTCAATACGTCTGGCGGAGGTTTTAAAACGCCTGCAAACCAAAAAACCGTGTGAAATCCGTATTTAATCCAATTGAACAGACTGACAACATAATATCCTCATATCTTTCTCTGTAACGGCAGATATTATTTGAAACATTCATATAAATAGAGGATATTACTCTGTGGCGAGAAGATATGAATTTTATGGATGTGTGGCACGAAAAATATCTCTCTCGTCAATACAATAAAAATATTTATCACATAAACTGCGGTGTTATACAAGGATTTCCGGCCCTGAGAAAAGCCGTAACACACGTGAAAAAATATCGTATTTTTTCACGTGTGTTGATATGGCCAAACAGCTGCTTATACGTCACTCGCCTTTGGCACCACTCGGTCAGGTTGATGAATGAACGGTAAAGCCTCCACGGTTCTCAATACAAGTTGTTTGTCGGAGTTTTCTCGAATTATGGCGGCTAAAACACTAAAAAATCCGTATCGTTGGCAGACAATGAAGTTCAAACTTTCCTAGAAAGGGAAGAAAACCAATATACTAAAAGAAAAACCGAAAGTTGCGTATTCAGTGGCTTTGATCATGTTAGTATTTTTCTCGTCTGAGAATGAAAATCGACAACTGGAAGATTTGCTACTAGCCGATTTTGGCCGTTTACCTGAAAGACTTCTTCTGTCGGTAAAGACAAATTCAATAAATGTGAATTTTGTAAATTGAAAATTACGACCATTGTTGTTTTTGTAATCATGATTCAACGCATTTTTTCATCTGAAGAGTCAGCGCAAACGCACTATACGATTATTATTCGAGGATTGCCGATTCATTTATTTTCATTCATTAATGAAGCCGGCTTTTCTTCTCAGTAAAGGGCTATTGTGTTTATGTGATAAACAAAATAATACATGGTTGCTTGTAGATATGGAATTTCTCTTCTCGTGTTCAACTCGACATCTCACTCGTTCGCTGCGCTCACTCGTGAGCTATCAAGTTAAACACTCGAAGAGAAATTCCATATCTACGCGCGCCCATGTATTATTCTCTATTTATTTAACAAATTCAGGATATCACAACGGTATCTGCCTGTCATTACGAACGCGATGGTTCCCCAAAAACTTCTTTAGCTGCGAGAGATTGGGATTTAGAGTCATACTCCGCGGAATGTTCTGTAAAGAAATAAAACGAGTTGTTCCCGTTCATTCAGACAAATGAAATTGCGAGACAATATTCCCTCAATACGTCCAAAGCGACCCAGTCGACGAGGTTGGTAGTAGTTGAAGGTGTAGACTTAGACGAAATGCATAAACCCTGATAGATGTCTTTTTGCGAGGCCGTCAAAACGGGAAAGCAATTTGTTATATATAAAGAAATATATAGAGAAAGACATAATAAATTTAAAGAAACTGTGGTGCCGCAT